TATATATATATATATATATATATATATATATATATATATATATATATATATATATTGAGGAGTTCCGGGCCCCCGGGGAAGACCCAGGACACGCTGGAGGGACTATGTCTCTCGCTGGCCTGGGAACGCCTCGGGATTCCCCCAGAGGAGCTGGATGAAGTGGCCGGGGAGAGGGAAGTCTGGGTTTCCCTGCTGAGACTGCTGCCCCCGCGACCCGACCTCGGATAAGCGGGAGATAATGGATGGATGGATGGATGGATGGTTGGCTGTTAACAGGTTGGATTGTTCGTGGTCTGTCTGTAGCTGAAGTTGTGTATGAAAAGAAGAGGACAATATTCTTTTTAAAGTGCCAGTGCAAGTACAGTATTGTAACTTACCATATCAAATTAATTTTAACTTAGTCAATAGCGGATGGTAGGGAAGTACTTACCAGAATGTTTAGGCTGGGATGAAATGCTTAGATAAGACCACCGCAGCACGTACTTCACAAGACAGGCTGGCTTTACAAGCTTCTCTTTGCACATTTGTGTACAATATTTATAAAGGAGAACCTAAACGTACTTGTTATAGGCTACAGCTTATTAACCCGATTATTAAAACAATAGAGAGCATGTAAGTGACAGGTCATTATTTGCATATTTTCTTTTATTCCATACCATTTTTACATTTGTGTTGAAGGCTACCTTTTCATGTAATTTCAAATATATTGGCAGAACACTTAGACCTGCTACTTCTTGTTTATATTCAAACATTTTGTTTAGATTTGCCCAGGCAGAGACTTGAATACAGGTCCAAGACGCAGGAGGCAATAGTGCTAACCACTGTGACACCCCAGTCATAAAGCCTATGGTGCCAAGCCATGCATTTGCCATAAATAGCTCACTAGTGATATTGCTTGATCCCTATCTTTAAAGTAAGGATAATGTGTGTGTTTTTTTATGTTCATGTATGAAATTATGACCAACTTGCTACATCTTCTAAGTTGTACATTTACATGAACTTGTTTATGCGACACTTTTATCCAAAGCAATTTATAGTTGAGGTTTGAAATTTGGGACAGGTGATATATCAATAAAATATTGTATCTTGATTATGAACATTCATATCCTCATCAACTTGAATATTGTGAGCATTGACATACAGCCTAAACACTTGTTTTCTTGCACAACTAATAGTTGTAGTGTATTATTTTTACACAAATTCCATCAAGTTATGAGCCTGTGGTTGGCATAATTTATCATAATACCATTCTCTATAACTGTTAGTAAAACAATTTGGTTGTCACAATCAGGAAAACTCAAAACCACGTCATATTTTACCATGTTCTACATTAATTTTAGAATATTATGATGCATATTGATATTTGAAAAAAGTTCTGTTGGCATTTTCTATTGTTACACCGTACGATAAAAAAGTTTGTTTTTCTCTCCAGTTTGCAGTCTCTTCATTTTTTTTTGTCTTTTTCCATTTTGGGAATCTGTTTAAAGGCAATTCTAAGAGAACGTTAAGCAAAAATCGAAGATTGAAGTAATGAAATACTGACGTGAATTGTATTGTGATAATTATCAGTATTGCTTGATATGAAAAAAATTACCATCATATTTGCAGTTCATGTGTGTTCTCTGGGATTTGAAATTATACTGTGTATTGTTAGTTCAATGCTGTACTTGTTGAACTACAGGAGCTAAGCTACCCTCAAAGGTAGGGTGTCATGTAAACTTAGTTGTGATTTCCGGACACCAGAAAGGAGGCAGACCCCGTAATGCGGGAGAAGGGTTTATTGAGTAGTACGCCGAGTGCACCAAGAGCCAAAAGGGAAATCTAAGCAGGTAGTCGGGTCAAGTGCGGAAGGCTGAAAGGCGGTAAGGTCAGTCCTATAGGCAGAGACAGGACGTGGAGACGATGGGATGGGAGAGAGGATGAAGGCAGACCGGGAAGGCAGGGTAGGACAGACAAGCGGACCAGGCAGGGAGGCAGGATCAACCAGGGAAGCAGGGCAGGCAAGACAGCAGGGTACGATGAGACAGGCAGGGCAGGCGGGGAAGACACAAGACAAAGAAATGCTCAGTAGATGTCATTCGCATGACAACAATACATTGCAACACTCTGTGGTACGATTTGGATTTAACTAGCGTGTTGGATTTGTGACAATTGCTAGCAGCTGTTATGCCCCGCCCCTGTGGGATCCTCTTCACAGTATGGATTAAACTCTTTAAAACATGTGGTCTCTCATTGAAAACTCTACCCTAGAGTTGCAGCTCTATGCAATCTGGTAAAGAACCAGAATCAGTTGTTTGATTTAGCGACTTACCTGGAATGAGACAATCTTTACGGCCATCATACAGCATCCCCAACTGGAAGGGTCTTCCAAGGGCTGCCATCTCCATCTTCCCTGAGTCAGTTTCCATGATTTGAGTTCTAAGTTGTTCTAAAAATGTAGGTGTATATGCTATGATTAATTCATAATTGTGTTAATGTCACAAATTACATAAAATCCTAAATTATATTGTTTAAAATGAATAATTCTGAATTGAGCTTTGGAGGCATACGGGCAACATTTAGGAAAATTAAAGCTTAAGCCCTGGTCCCAGAGGTGTGTACAACAGTGCTAACCACTGCACCACTGTGCCGCCCCAATCATCATCATCATCATCATCGTCATCATCATCATCATCCATCCATCCATCCATCCATCCATCCAACCGTTTTCCGCTGCTTATCTGGTGTCAGATTGTGGGGGCAATGGTTTAAGCAGGGATTCCCAGACCTCCCTCTCACCAGACACATCCTCCAGCTCCTCTGGGGGAATACCAAGGTGTTCCCAGATATAATCTCTCCAGCGTGTCCTGGGTCTACCCCAGGGCTTCCTCCTGGTTGGACATGCCCAAAACATCTCCCCAGGGAGCTGCTCAGGAAGCATCCTAGATATCTGCTTGAACCAGCTCAACTGGCTCCTTACGATGTGGAGGAGCAGTGGCTCTACTTTGAGCCCTTTCTGAATGTCTGAGCTCCTCACGCTATCTAAGGCTGAGCCCAGACACCCTGCAGAGAAAACGCATTTCTGCCACTAGTATCCATGATCTTATTGTTTTGGTCACTACCGAGAGCACAACAGAACGGTACAGCGTCCGCATTACTGCGGAGACTGCATTACTGCCAACACTGCATTACCGCCGACACTGCATTACCGCCAACACTGCACTGATCCGTTTGTCGATCTCCTGCTCCCTTTTTCCCTCACTTGTGAAGTGAGCCACTCAAACTCCTCCACCTGAGGCATCAACTCATCCCCCACCAAGAGAAGGCAACCCACCCTGGACCTCTGTGATCCTAGGAACTGTGTTGTAGGGAACTGCCCCTGGTAGGGTCTCCCAAGGCAAACTGGTCCTAGGTGAGAGGCCAGATTAAGTGTGGTTCACAGAAACACCTATGAGGATCAACACTAATGACCATGTTACCCCACCCTGATTGGGGAGACGGGGGCTGCACCCTGGAGCAACGAAATATACATTTTAACAAGAAGAAGCTTTAATAAGAATGAGGTAACATTCCTCCTCCACTTTCACAGGCGACTACAAATGCTCTGCAGAAGAATATCTGATAGGACAAATGAAATAAACCTGATTGGCAGATTCAGATGGCACAGGCTAAAGTTGACCAACTGGGTAGGCAAAGCAAAAATTTAGGCGGGCATTGCCCATCCCTGCCCACTTCTAGATTCAGCCGTGCTGGAACTTCCACGTAACGCAATCAGAGGGCAACTGGCACACAAAGAACAGAATTCTCTGGTTGTGGGGGATGTGAGGTGGGCAAATGAACTAAATCAATTGTTCAACAGGTTTGATTCATCTGCCCCTGCCTTTCCACCCATACATAGATTTGTTGCAAAAAAAATCAGCCATTTGATTGGGTGGGCCAAAGGAAAAATTATTACGTTGATACCAGTTATTACATTAACGGTAGTAATTACATTATTGGCTGCTACAGGAGCTACTCCTCAAAGCAAGTTCATTCAGTTATACAGATAACTTTAAAAGTTTCTTCAAAGTGTGTTGTCAGGAAACCTGATTCCTGGCCACATATCAATGTCCATGGTCCACTGGTCCTTTGGGAAGTTCTATGGATCCCTGCCGAGTCCAGCTTGTTTTAATTTAAGCAGATAATCATTTGGTTCCCCAACGAAAATAACTCATGTTATAGTCTTTTGCCACTCAGTACGTCTGAAGGCAAGGCGATCTGGCAGGAGAACACTGAGCGACGACCACCACTAAGGGGGATCTCCACTGTGGGGCCAGAAATCACTACATCTCCACACCTGTCTGCTTGCTAAGCAGAATATAAATGCTATTTCCCGTAGCTATAAATCCCCACCTTTCAACCAAGACCCCGAGATACTTAAACTCCTCCACTTGGGGACAGAACTAGCTTGAGGCGGTTTATTTAATCATAACTCCATTCTCAGTATAAGTATGATTTCATAACAATTTTTCATATAAACAATATTACTGTAAAAATGTGACTGAAAATCACTGGATATCTGAGCTATTGCATTCTTCGAGAATTGCTTTGCATGTCTATGGCTTTGCAATAAGCTTGACGACCAACAACTATTGATGGGGTTTCCTTTATTATACATAACATATTTGCAAACCAAAAAAAAAAAAAGATTAAAATAACTGTACAGGTCAAGGAATATTTAACTTATTTTTCGAGTCTCATTTTCACAGTAATACTGATTGAGGCCTGGCACGTTTTTCGATAGGCTGTAAACCTAATGAGAGCAGACATACATCAATTTCAGCTTAATATTAGTTAATAATAAATCTGAAGTACGCGTCGACTTGCGTTCGCATTTTGAACCGGTGTTCTGAGGAGTTGAGATACTTTGTCGAGTTAGGCTACCGTAGGGTGACCAGATAATCCATGTCAGGGAGGACACTCTGAGCTAGGACAGGAATTGTAAATTACCATTTCAATTAAACGGACCTGGATTTCACTTGAGCACT